TCCAGATATATGCTAATTTCCATGAAAATGTTGAAAATGTTTCGGAGTGTTTAATATTGTGAAGTAACTAAACGGAAGAAATTTACACATTTTAAATGACACTTACAACCCAGTAAATTACCAAAAAGTGGTCAAAATATGCATAAATAGCCCGTACTGTGTTAGTAACGCAGTAGACATATAGTTCATGTAGTTGTAAATACTAAAAAATCAGTCATTTATTGTACAGAACATGTAAAATATAACATGAATTTTGAATTTTTACTTTCCTAAAATTTTAGTACATTTTTCTTAAGTTTGATTTTATTGAAATATTTTGACACATCTGGAGGCATGCAGCTTAAATAGTTTAATAGTTTTAACTATTTTGAGTATTTAAATACATGTATTATTTGAAAGTGTGTTTCTTTTAATGAAATTTACCTGAATGTTACCTGAATGTTTCAAATTTGGATATATTCACTTACATATCGTAAAATAGTTTAAACTGGACGTATTTTGTGTTTGTGTTTTTTTTTTGTTTTGTTTTTGTTTTGTTTTTTTACAGTAAAAAGTTTTCAGCTTTACCCTCCGATGAGTGACGTGTTTATAAATTGCCTCCATCAAATGACAAAATCTATCCAATTGTACTGCTTTTGTATCTACAATGTATCACGATTTGTCCGCAATATCCGGCAGAAAAGTGACTCCGTGTCATTTCTGACTACTTGAGAGGTTGACAAGACAATCTGTTTTACTTAGATAACAAATTTCATTTTGTGCTTATATGTTCAGAAATACCCAAACCCGCTCTTTAACAGAATAAAATTCGGCATGATGTTACTTTGTCATCTTCTTGAAATGTTTATTTCAGTGATTTAAGCAAGTGGTCATTTATAATAAATAGTTACTCTTTATCGCCATTTATCGTTGATTTTTAACTTACTTTTTAGCTCAATACTTATTGTATTTACTAGCAATTCGTGTTAAATCGAGGGTACCAGTGGGGGAAATGGATTTTAATTATTCAATAACTTCAAAGATAGTATTAATACACTTGTTACTATATAAAGTAACGCAATTGCTTATGATTTCAATTGATTATGAATGGCACGTGACAGATTATCAGTTTCCGGCCTGGGGTCGATAACTGATAAATAAATCATAATCGGCCCGCTGAACACGATAACTTGCACAAATTGAAGCAATGACGTCACATTTGACGTCATCGAAACTAGCTGTAAAAGTGAAATTAGAATTGAAGCATAAATAGCTTGATTTTATGATTAAAACATGAGCGTAAATTCTATAAACACAGCTTTATTGAAATTTGAAGAAAGAAATACTAGCTTCAATTTCATTCCAAGAAAATAAATCGTGCTTCTAGATTTTGTTGCATACACATAAGGGAAGCAACTCTGCAGAAGTTACTTTACTGGTATACAACAGTTGAAATATTCAGAGATAGGAAGAAATATCAAAGTAAATTTGATGTCTATCAAGAGTATTAAGGCATTAATACACGCCATAGATGGGCCAGGAGGTGATAATCGGACCGCAAAATGAATAATATAAAAAGTAAATAAACTATCGACCATTGAACTTCATTCTAAATACACTGTAACCTCGAAAGTAATTCCTAGTGGCTAATTACAAATTTATGGGACATGTGTTCACCATAATTGCCATAAAATGTTTCTTTTCTCCCTTTAACTATTATCTCTCTTTGGGAGAATTTCTTGCTAGAAAGGAAATTACTGACGTATGTAAGTTATTACATCTAAGATCACGGTATCTACGAACGCTCAGAATATTATCTGTAAAATAATTTTATAATTTTACTCTTTAAGACAAGAGGTTTTCAACCTACTCAATAAGTCTTAGGAAATGAGGATTCTGATTTCAGATAATTTTATAGGTAAAGACTGATAAGAGCGATTCAAAGGCAGACATAAAAATGACACCAAAATGTTTTATTAGACATTCTACGATATTTTTGCCATATTACTTCATTCGAAACATTAATTTAATTACACAAACAAGTACAAACATAAATACAGCAGTAAGGAAAATACATCTTAGGAAAGTTTCACATTTTGAAAAAATAAACGGTTCGAAACATGCACTTGTGGGACAAATTTGGGCACGCAGCTCGCGAGACATTTTTATTGATGAAAATGCTTGAACTGTTCTATTCATGCTTCACTTCAATCAGGGTGGTGTAAACACGTTCTCGAGCGGTGGTGAAATGTATTCACGTTATTCAACCTCATTCCAATTTGGGCTTTATTCTATGAAAAGATTGTAAGTACAAAGGATACTAATACAATCATGTAATAAAACTGCGATACAAAACTGTGGAATAATAAAATTTAGGACATTGCTTTATTTTCTTAAGCTGCATTGCTTTTCTCTCCACCTTGATTCTAAACCGTTTTGCCAAGATCATGCTCGTGCACCTTTGTGTCCATCATTAATCTAGTTATAAAATTGTTGTTTCTCATGATCATGTGTTTCTGAGAAGTGGGTGTTACTTGAATACTAACAGGTATAAATAATATTAATCAACATTACGATGTGTTTCGTCTAGACTATTTATATTCTAAATCACAAGATAGCTATCATTGATAACTAAGATGATAAATAATGTACTATAATTGACATGAAGTTTTTAGTTATCTTTCCATTTGAGATGTTTTACCATGCTTTAAGCCTTAGCAAAAAAGTTTAGCTTGTTTGCTTGTTTTTTGTTGGGTTTTTTGTCGATTTTTGTATTAATAGATGAAACGCGTTTTAACAAACAAAATCAATTCAACTTGTGTCTATTCAAAAGCTTTTACATGAAATTAACGTACAAAAGCAAAGGCAACGTTCACAGAACGCAGACCCCCGAAGCAATCTAGCCACCCAAGAAGGCACTGAATCGGGAAAGGGCACAAGAGAGGTAAGAGAAGGAGAGGGACATGTAATAAGTTAAGTGGTAAGAACTAAAAGGGACAAATAGAGGAATTAAAGGGACAAGGGGTGTAAGGAAAATGAGGCGGGGGAAGAGGCAGGGTACAAAATGAGATAAAATGGGAAATGATATGAAAATGCTTCCCGTTAACGACAATTTATAAAAATGGACATCACAAAGTGTGCAAACGTTCAAATTATGTTACAGTACCCATAGCTTAGTAGGAACGAAGGCCTACGATGCATGTCAGGAAGGTTTTTTTAAACCAGGCTCATTTTGTTTTTGAATGTCTAAATTTGAAAAAAATCTATGTTCCCAGAAAATCAAGGGTTCCCACGTTGTCCAAATTCAAGATGGCCGCCAAGATGGCCGCCAAAAATTTAAGAAAATACCATTTTTATTTAAAATACAAATACAACACTTCATTTTCACATTTTAAATTCATTTATTCATCAAGATGATCGGAATTACATAGAATTCCTGATATATAAGCAATTTTTTTACTTTAAAAAGCATAACTTTTTGAAAATTGCCTTAAAATATGCTTAAAAAGGGTAAAAAACGTGTTTTTTTTTTTGCATTTGGCTGGTTCCAATTCGGCTCAGAAAATTATTTAACCTCTTATACAATATTTTTTCACATTTTTTTACAGATACATGATAAAGAATTTGAAAAAAAATATTTAAGTCTAGATAAAAAGTTAAATTTTAGTTTAAGGGACTATTTAAGTGGGTGGGGTAAGTGCCATCCATTTTGTGAAAAATACGCCATGTACTTAAAATACATCAAAAAGTATATAGGTCTTCTACAGCAATTTCTATGCATGGTTTTAATCATTCTTGAGATTTCCTTATCTATTTTTTAGTAATTAAAGGGTGCAAACTTATTTTTTCACACATTAAGGTGAACTTTTTGCCTTAAAAATGGCCGAAAATTTCATTTTTTAAAGAAAAGCCCATCTCAATCTTACCTTAAAATTGCATAAATGCTCATTAAATTGTTGAGTTTATCTTTAATCATCAAAATACAATAGCATACAAAGATATAAATATTTTTAAAAGTACAGATGTCAGATTTAACAAAGTGCAGCATAAAAAGTGGGTGGGGTAATTACATACAATTACATGAAAAAAAGTCAAAACCTGCATAATTATATATACAAGTTATGGAAGTCTTCTCTGTCAATTCCAAAACATTATTTATCTTTCTTGTGACATTTCCATACTTCTCAGTAATTTATTAGAAGTAACAATTTTTTTTTAAAACTTAAGGTTAACGTTTTGCAGCAAAATTGGCAAAAACACATTTTTATGGTAAATGTCTCTTAATCGCGGGAACGACTTATTCCTTAATTTACCGTAACTCTCAAAATGTTCTTCCATATATCGTCCAATGTTAACATACAACAATAAAATGAAGAAAAGATATTCTTAAGACATTCTTAAACAACAGAATATGTCACATTTAACTGTTCACAATGCCCATCTCTAAAAGTGGGTGGGGCAATAATCACCAATGAAATAAATACATAGATACACAGTTATTCTCGAACAATTCACAATGATGCTTTTGACCATTAGTTAACATGTTTGTATACTTTAGTATTAATAGTGCGAGGGATATTATACAAACTACATTTTCCTCATTTCGTTTTGTGAGGATTTAGGAACTTATCAATTTACGTGAACTTTTTAATAATTAAATGTAATGTTGACATATTGTAAAAAAAATAATAGAAAATACCCTCAGTTGCATTATATAATTACATTCATGGGGATCAAAATCTATTTCTGAAACGTTCGGATTATAACTATAGTAATTAATATCAGTAAGATGTTGACTCAGCATAACACAATATCTTACAAATACACTGAGTAGAAACAAAGAATTCATTAACGTGCCATACATTCTGATTTGACAGCTATATTCATTCGTCTGAAAAGACAGACAATAAATACAAATCCACAGATTTATAAAAACACAATCAACTCAATTGGAAGTATAACTATCACCAATCATCTCACTACATAACTAATCTCCCACAAAAGTTTACGGTTACTGAATGTCACTCATCATCATCTGACACTGAAATTTCTAGACAACCATCATCATCTTCTTCTTCCATCTCTGCTTGAACATTTTCGACTAGGTCAACTAACGTTGGTGGAAGAATGGGACCCTCAGCCCACAATGGTTCTAACACTTCGTTCTTTTTGGTCCACCCTTGCCCTTCATCATGTGGTTCCGGATGTTCTATCACTGGTGTATGAGCATTTTTCAAGATGCCGAGACGATGGTTGACTCTTCTGATGTGTTGGCATAAATTATCCTGGCAAGGTGGCAGTTTGGATAATTCCACCTTTGACTTCATGGTCAGCTGTTCGTCGTCTCCTACCATTTTCTTCAAAAGAACTGCCCTACATGTGTTCACAGACCTCTCCCTTGGACACCCATACATCACACAGACAAACGCTTCTAACATCTGCATAACATCTTCTTCAACTGTCCAAGTATCACCCAGCATCCTACAGACATATCAGTTAAAAATAATGACTATTATACTTTTATTTACTGTCATAATTTGTTAGAAATGTGTTACTGTTTCAGACAATTCATTTTTTTAATCAGTTACAAACATTTTACCTGAAAGTTTTGTGGTATTTAGGATTACTCTGCAGCTTTCTGAGCGGTGTGACCTTTCCCTTGCCCTTAAATGCACTTGTGACATCTTCACCGGTGAACACATGCAGTCCTAGTAGAGTCTCACTGTATTCAGCACCTTGTGAGTCTGCCAGCTCACTAATATTCACCACCTAAGATGACAAAGTAGTTTATGCATTCAAAAGTTAAATATGTATTGAAATTTAATTTATTTTAAGTTTTAATTCTTGGTATATTATATATACATTCTGTTAGATTAAAAAAAGTATATACTGTTGGAATAATTACTTGGTACATTAATGAAATTCAGTAACTAGAAATTAAAGATAGGTTTAATGCATGGTATATATTTTTACCTGTCTCTGTTTTCCTGTACCAACGTCGAGATAAACTGTCAGTGGTACAGACTGTGCATGGAACAAGGTAATGAAGAATAAGTCAGAGTCGGGTGTACGCACAATAGCTGACTGGTAGCCAATCGTTGATGCGTAGTGCATGTACAAAACTACTCTGGTATCTGTCTCTTCTTGGTTGGACACTAAACTGAAGATCTCCTCCGTTCTCACCTGAAGCAAACGAAAACAAAACGACCACTAGATTTTTGCCTGGATAAAATATTTTTTGTATACAATAACTAAAATATTAGTAGGTATCATTACAATTTATGTAGACTGTGGTATAAAGCTTAACATTATTGTAACTTACATCACCATTTGTCTTTTTTAACTGGTAAGCCCTTCCACCAACGACCACCACTGCTGTTCCACATCGATCTAGTCTGGATGCTGCTGACTCACTGCCCCAAACACGCAGAATAAGATTGCATAATTGTGTCTTATTGTCATCGTTGGATAGGAATTCTTTAAAGTCCGCTGGTCTACGGGTTGCAGGTCCATCAACGATGAATTTTCGACTGCAGCCTCTGCGCACTCTCTCCTGTGCCTTTATAGAGTTCGGGAAGTAGCTGTCCGCCGAAAAAATAAAGTTCTTCCTTGCAACCATGATGTCCAGAATCTGCAGACATATTCCGCCAAACGTTGGTGCAAGGTTTGTAAGCTCATGAAAGAGAGCATTACCATCTTGGATGTAAATGGTGGATTCTGAAGGAGTTGTCGCTTGTGGCACATCCTGCAATATGGCATTCATTAAAGCCGCCTTGTTGCTCTTGCAAAAGAACCCATCAGGTGTACCAAGGCTATGAGGTACGGGAGTCAAAGGAAACCGCATCAGGTCTTCAAGGTCCAACTGTTCGTTCAACGATTGAGCTTTTACCAAAAGCATAAATGCTATGTTGCTCTGTTCTTGATACTGAATCACCTGTAATGGATATATTACAAATAATTAAATCTAAAATAAAACAAGTAAAACAAGTCAACTTTATGTAGCAACAAATAATGTAGCAAAACAATCTAAACAATGACACCCAACAGATATATGAAAATGTCACCAGAACGCTTTGATTGTTCTGGTTTAAGAGGCTGACAGCTGTCAATCCTTCTCCGCCTAGCTCATGGTTCAGCGTAATTCGACACTTACATTTTAAAATTTAATAATTTAATACGAGACACAAAAGAAATTTTGAAAGACGTAGTTATTACTTTTCCCTGGGGAGCAGTAAGTTTCACTGTCTTGTTCGAAGCTTCCATTGACTTTAATTTTGACTTCGGTATCGGGTCAAAGAACTTGATAGGCGATGCTCCGTGTGTAAGTCTTTCGGCTATGAATCTTTGCTTGGCTTCCTTTCCCACCACCTCTGCCCGAAGAACATCTTGCTCAGCATCAGGGGGAACTGGAGCTCCAGAAGCCAAACTGTTTTAATAAAATATATTGTTATTAAATATATGTATTATTAGGTTAATCATTGTAAGTAATATTTTGAAAAACATAAAAAATACAGCCACTTATAAGGAAAAGTACCTGTACAAGTGCTCTTTGTTTGTAGCCTTAAACGGGTTCGAGAAATTGCAGATAGCTGTCATGGTACTGACAACTGCCTCTTCAGACTTCCTTATTTCGGCCCGTTCTAACTCTCGATGGCGTCCAGCCTTTGGTGCATCTGCGTCTTCCACCATACCGCACATGTCCAACATCTTCTCATAAAATCGTACTCGCGTAGAGGTTGTCCTACACCACCGCTGGTACGCCCCAAACATTGAGAAGAGACCAGTAAATCCACCTGCAATTGGACAAATTTAATTTTCCATTTACAGTAATCATAAACAAGTAATGTAGCAAATTTAAAACAAGTAAAGTAGCAAAACCCTCAAAACAATGAACCCACCCTCCTAACAGAAGATTATAGAAACTGTCGCCAAAACGGTTTTATTGTTCTGGTTTAAGGAAGTGACAGTAAACTGCGAATTCTCTCCACCTAGCTCCGGGTGAAGCGTAACTCGACAATTAAAACATATAAACCATACACCTTATTTACTACAACTCCAATAACAAACACCTCCAACTGACAAAATATATTTTCAGATATGTTTGGCCTGTGTGCATACCTGCTGATTTAGCGAATTTCATGAACGTTTCCTCCATGGTTTTGTCGACTGCACTACACGAGCCTGGGATTAGTGATCGCGTCACTGCAATGCCCCCTTTCTGTAGTAGTTCCTTTGCCCCAGGATGAGTAAGATCTATGTTGGTGAGAAAAACCTCAAACCATGTCAGATACCTGCAATGATAAACGAATTTCATATTTAATAATTATAATTTCTTTCATCTAAAATTTATTAATATTTATCAAGGATCATTTGTATTGAAATTGTTGTTGATCACTATATTTTAAATTATACACTTAAGTAGTCGTAGGTCATATCCACATGTAATGACTATAAACTTTGTTGTTTTCTGTTTTAAATATATTTTCCAAACAGTATTTCAAATATTGCTAACATAGCTAACAGAGGTATTTTTATTTAACCAGAGTAAACTTCAAACTGAAATTACAAGACTTACCTTGAGTAGTTTGGTCCATCATATGCAAAGAACAGCTCTGCCATCTGACCATAACACTGGTGGAAAAGATCCAAGTTGTTTGTTTTCACAGCATACAGTAGCATGAGGACAAGCCTGGCATGGTCAACAACACTCAACCAGAACATTGCAGTTTTTCCTAGTTCCCCATGTCGCACGGAATCTTCAAAGCTGATGTACTGATCAATGAAATCTGTTACAGACTGGTCGTCAAGCAAACTGTTCAGTGTGTCACGGCTTGAAATTGTAACCAGTTTCATTAAGAGAGTTGGGTTCAATTCACTTTCCATGTTTTCAGCAAAGCGTTCGAACAGTAACCTCTCCATTGCCTCTGTAACGGTCTTCAGGCAGAACAGAGCCTTTGCGTATGCCTTCCCGCTCAAAACATTTTGTATGCAACCACTTGTTACTAATCCAGCCTCGATCAGTATCTCTCCATACCATGACCCGGCACACTTGTTCTTGGTGACCATGCCAATGTAGTTCATGGCGGTGTGGAAGGCTCCTGGCGTGATCACATGGTATTTGTACCGTTCTGGATACTTCCATATCAAAGGGAGTGCCTTCATGCATCCTCCTAGGTCGAACGTTGAAAGAACATACTTCTGTCCAACCTCTTTAGTAGCCTGCTCCGACTGTTCAAGAAGCGCTTTAATGACAGCGTAGTCTGTAAATGGCTGATCAATGGGTGTAAAGTAGTCAATGGTAGACTTCCGTGAAGGCTGCAATCCAGTACTCGAAATGAATCCACCAAATCCTGGAACTGACTGCTCATCTGCACTGCTTCCAACAACCCTGGATAAAAACCAAATTCTGTATTCCAGAAGGGCTTTTAGGTACATGTCATGGTTCTCATGTGGTGTTGTGAACACAGCTTCCCTTGGAAATGTTGGTCCGCACCGTTTGGTCAATGCAGTGGGTGGTAGACATTATTGTTCATCAACCTTTAGAGACCGAGCCTTTGTGCGCTGGTAGACCCCGAGAGTGCGCTCAGAACTTGTAGCACAATATCCAGGCTTCAATTCTTGGATCATAATGCCTGCAGTACTATTTACCACATTGGAACCATGGATATTTGTGGTTATCTTATTCAGATTGTCCCATTCAACATGGAAGACTTCATTTCCAGGGCCCGTCACAATAAGTGGTGTGAGTTTGGATGAAGAATCATTCAGTGCTTTAGCTAGGGATGTCTCAAGCTCTAAACTATAATCATATGATTCACTGTGACCCAACCGACTTAACATGGTAGTGAGGATCTTGCTTCGATAGAGATGTCGTACTGTTGTGCTCAGCAAAATATGCTTCGGCATCTTCCATTCGCCATTCGTAACAGCGCGGCAAATGTCCTGAAATAAAACAAATAATTTGTTATTAAAAATTACTTTGAGAATGATATTTAACTTGTTTCGTATACATGAGGCTTGATACTAGTCAAGGGTTTGAATCTTCTTGTTGGGCTTTTTTTGGAATCTCAAATGGTCACCAGTACTGTTTAATTTTCTTAAAATTATTTTTTAATATTATTAAACAGACTTCAAATTAATGCTCATGAATCAACTCGAACATTACATTTAAAAGGTGTCTCCCCTGTTTGTACTCTCATTTTTTTGGTTTGAAGTTCCTATAGAACTTTACTACATGCAATATTACAATTCAAGGCAAGAGCAATGATTTTCCCTTTTCTACATATTTGAACTTAAAGGAAACAAAAACAGGTATCAGTTTGGTTGCTGTAACTGAATGGTTTGGCCCTGGTATGTTATTGCTTGCCTGTCTATTGCTATTATGAAGTCAAAATAAAATGAAATTGTTAAAAATAAATTTAATTTAATTCATATTTATTGACACTGTCCTTTATTGGTATGCTGGAAAAAATACCTGAGCTATTGATAGGACGATTCGTCTTGTCTTTTCAGTCCCCGCAGAATCTCCACATACGAGTTGTGTCAGAAATGTTTGAAGTGCATCTGGGACCAATTCCTCCGGAGGAAAAGCGTCAAGGTCATCGGCAGTGGGTGGCCATGGCAGCGGTTTTGACACCGTATATGCCTGTTTCACACTTTTCCTGAGATAAGTAGCTACTTCCTCTTTAACTGAACTTGATCCCAACTTGAAACCACTGGCAATTGCTTCTGGCACAGTCATGTCGGCACTAAATACCACACTATGCATAATGCAACCAGCACCTTTCTGTTTAGTGAAAGCAATTTTTTGTCCAATAGGATCCGACTGCAACCACACTTTCAAGGTTCTATTGTTGTAATTTATATTGGGGAAGCCATTGTTATGCATTTCGGTTATGTACAAGTCCCTAACCGAGGCTAGAGGAATTACTTCCTTTTGTACAACCACTTTTTGTGAAATCATATCACGTACCGACTGTTGGGCAAGGTTTTCTGACGTGTGGGAATTTTTAACTGAACCCCCCATACTTTGGCGCTTAGAAAGGTTAAACACTTTCAATTCAAAATCCTTCCGACATGAAGTATGAAACATTGCCTCTCTGGCCACCAGGTCTTCACCTTGTACTAATCGATATAAGGCAAAATCGCCCACCTCAAAAGCCTGCGACTCAATTTGTTGCCATGTTGTGTTTGTGAATTGAACACACCGCTCTGTATTTGCATGTTTCTTTGGTTTCACTTCCAACTTTTTACAGAAGATGCATTCTGGTGGAAACTGATTACTACAGTTAGCAAAAATTCTTGGTGAATGGTGTTTTTGAGAATGTTTTGTACATTCTGCTTTACTTAACCTATCTAGGTTTTTGGTAAAGGCCTGGTAGCACCCACGGTGGTAACCAGTGATGTTCAGGTCTATTCCACATAATGAGGCAGGAATGCTCTTGCATATGTCATGCATGCGATGTGGTGAGTCACATGGTTCAGCTAATCGCTTGTTGCGAATTGAGTGCAGCTGATCTAGTTTTTGTTCAGCAGAGACTTTTAATTTTGTAGAATTTAGTGTTACACAGTCACCATGATTGCTAAGTCCACTGTTGTGAATAATGCACCTAAAGTCTGTGGGTATATTCAGCTGCTCGTCGTACTTCCGTTTTTTACTATTGGACATTTTCTCATTTGTTTAATATTTAACACTACACGTCATTGATGATGAAGGCATTCCACATATCTAAAAAACAAAAATTATTTTTTACTCAGGAAATTCAAAATTAAAATCCAAAATAAACGTATTTTAATCATTGAATACATTGAATACAAAGTTAAATTAGTTTTTGTGACACTGTTAAGTATAGTAATTAGCATTGTGGACTTAAATTGCACCTGTTTCGTGGTAAAACAATTATTTCTACAAATTTAATGCATAAAGAATTTTATTTCAATGCACATTTTTCACATTTCTAATAAATTATTAAAACTGTCTGAGAGCGAGACAACATCAACCAACCCACACTTCCAATGGTTGAATTACACATTTTATGTTCAAACTTACTGGTGTATCCACAGCTCAGCTGGCATTAGCTTGGGAACAAGGCCTGTAAGGCAGGGCTCAGTAGTGGAGTATGTGCAGAGTAGTTTTACTTTTAAAAGCAAAAAAAAAATAGGAATTTAGGGTTTTATTTTGGTATAAAATAGCAATAATATGTAAATTATCTTTTATTCTTTTATATAAGTCTAATACTAACACCTCAGGAAAAGAAACCTACAATATTTATATTTGTACAGTTAAAGAAAAAGTTATTGACATTACACATTTGAAAAACACAGACCTTCTGGATCATTCTTGTGTTGTTTCATATACGGTACAATAATGCATCTTCATTTAAGGTCCCATTCTGACTAAGCCAAATGAAGTGTCTGAAATAAAGTAATTCTGACAGAATGGTTTTCAAGTATGTCAAATATATTTTATACAGTAAATATTTGTATAAATTCAATTTAAAATACTGTTACATTAAAATATATAAAGAATATGAAATGTCCCACATAAATAGTTTTATCATTACCTACATGTACATGCATTGATAAATATAAATGATTATATATGTTATATTCAAATAACTTCTATGTTGTAAATGCAATTATTTTATACTTGTTAATAATAATTATCAATGTTTAGGGGTAATCTAATTTAATAAAAATAACAAGGTACACAACATACCTTCTAAACAGATGAGAATAAATTATAATGCATTTATGGCACGTACCATGTCAACATGGTGGTGCATTGGGACTCTACAGCCACTTGTCAGATTAATTATCAGTATGAATAGCTATCCTCAATCATTGCCTGAAAACAAAAAAAAAACATGTAAACCTTGACATGATATGTCTTCAAACCCCTTCAGATTGTTAAAGAGGGCAAAAAACAAATTATCCGGATATTGTATGCATCCGACTACTACTCAAGTTTTTTAAGAAAATTAAACAGGGATCCTCTTAGAGAATGTCCATATTTTTACAAAAATGATTATTTATAATACATCATAGCTATAAACATTAATACTCAAATATTTTTACAAATTTGCAGCATTTCAACCGCTCAAAAGCTTTTGTTTATGTGAAGTTCTGGTGCATTTCTTTCTACATTAAAATCTGACATTTTATATTAATAAATTATAAGAAATTCTTTGAGAATTAAAGATTAAATACTGGGCTTTTAATGTTTCATACCTTCTGGTACAATCTACTCTAAAAATATGTGCAAATTCGTCGGTAAACTTCGTGTGTTCTTCAATGACATTGGAAACTTTCAGATGATTTCATGGCTTAATTATATCAAAGGGGAGTAACTGCGTAATTTGTGAATCTACCTTCCATCTATAAAAATGGCTTTGACTTACTTTTATATCGAGACAATACTAAAAGAGAAATACAATGACAACATACATGTTTTGTAGTTATAATAAAACTCTTATATATATAGAAATAAATTATTATATATACATCATGTATTATTCAGGTAATTTTCGGGTATTTTCAGGTAATTACCCGACTTATATTGAGAGTCCCTTAAATTCATATTTCCTTTCATATCTGAACTTTATGTTTTTCTTTGTACTTGGTCAACATATATCTGTAAATAAATGTGAAAAAATATAGTATAAGAGGTAAAATAAGTTTCTGAGCCGAATTGGAAGCAGCCAGATGCCAAAAAAGACACGTTTTTACCCCCTTTTTTGGCATATTTTAAGGCATTTTTCAAAAAGTTACGCTTTTTATAGTGAAAATTTGCTTATATATCCGAAATTCTACGCGGTTCCGATCATTTTGATAAAAAAATGAATTCAAACGGTGAAAAAAGAGTGTTGTATTTGTATTTTAAGCAAAAATGGTATTTTCTTTAATTTTTGGCGGCCATCTTGGCGGCCATCTTGAATTTGGACAACGTGGGAACCCTTGATTTTCTGGGAACATAGATTTTTTTCAAATTTAGACATTCAAGAACATAATAAGCCTGGTTTAAAAAAACCTTCCTGACATGCATCGTAGGCCTTCGTTCCTACTAAGCTACCAAGACATACAAGTGAAACATGTGTTGGAATACAGAGGGGTTCCGCCTGAGAACGGTCAATAGTAATAAGACTACTTGGGAGTTTAAACCGGTTTAATGCGTCCTAAACCTAACGCTTACCCTAATATGTTCCTATATGACGAGACAGTGTAAATAAATTGAATACCCGCTTAGTGAAATTTTAACAATTTTCATTGCCACATTCGACAAAACAAAAAGAATACATATATGATTATGTAAATATATACAAAACGGTACAGCTCAATGACCATAAAAAGTACTTGGTGCCGAAAAGGAGGGCAGAGCAGCAACAACCCTATAAAGCAAGACAGAAGACGAAAATTGAAGTACATGTAATTCAGTCCGACAGGCTTTAAGAACTATCATAAAGTCTTCCACTTTATCCATCAGATGCAATTAAAAGAGGAAAGCATATCGTCCAACTGTAGAAGGGTAAAACACCAAGCATGCGGTTACCATAAAAAACTGGGTTCTAGCCTCTTGTAATGAGACGTTTGATAATGTAGTGAAGAGAGCATACTATGACCGAAACCAAATTTATAAACAAAACATAGCTATTTCTGTTTTATGCAGTTTTAAGGAAACAATTTTGCAGGTTCATTGAATTGCATTAAAGATGAGCACATATAAAATTGAGATGATAGTAATTTGTTTCACGACAAGAGATGAATAGGTGTACACAACAATATCGGAAGTTGAATCTCTAAAGTTATGTTAGTAAGTAAAAGGCAGAAATTTGTCACTTTTCGACACAATTTTTGAAACTCTAATGAACGGTTAAAGTCATAAGAAAGAACATTCCAGCGTTCTTATATTACTTATATTGATAATTTGTCAACATATCCCATACAATGCTGCTGAATTTCGAATAAATGATATTTGGTTACAGATATCAACGATATATACTAGATACGCGTAAAGTAAAGCTAAAAACATATTTTTAACAAATAACATTAATTCATCCTGTAGTCAGGGTAAATTGGTCTATGCCTTTCAAAGAGCATCAGTTAAATTATTATAGAGCAAGAACTACTTTCGTCATTATTGCAATACATTCCCATACTTATTTTAGGGATCGCAATATACCGGCTTTAAGATAAATGTACGAACAAAATAGTGATAAAATATGAATAAAATAGTGATAAAATACAACGACTGAATATCGTATTTCGGGTTTAACTGCTCTATAGAATTAAACAAAGCATAAAGTAGGCAACTATATGAAGTTGTTATAGTAGATTCAAACCAAGACTTCAAAGATTTAAAAGTATGCACGACATAGCGGTATTCAAGATTTAATTTAAGTCTAATTTTGATGCAATTTTGAAATTTGTGCTAATTAGCGAACATTCTTTCTATTGCTATACTCAAAACATATATATTGCCCGTTTATTTACTCATAATGCAAGGAGTAATTTAAGGAGAAATTATGTTTATGTGGCGAAATAGAGACCGTGCATCACTTTTTCTTTTCATGTCCTCGTTATGATATCATCAGAAGCATGTATTTATGCCCCCTACCATGTCCCTTGACACTTAACAATCTCCTGTACGGAGACGAGCGCGTGAGCTTTAACACAAACGAAAAAATCATTCTTAAAGTACAACAGTTTATCCTAGCTTCCAAACGTTTTACTAACTAATATCAACTTTTTTTTTCTGTCCATCACTTCCCGATTATATTGTGTGCAGACATATATTCTCTATTCTTTACCTAAATTCAAAACTTTATTTAAATATTTTATTCTCTTTTTTCTCGAAACATTCTAAATATAATCATTTGAAAAAACTAACTTAAATCGAATACTAGTTAAAAACAATATTTTACTTTGTAACAGAAATTGTTTGGAGTAATTTCCCAATATGAAACAATCTTGAAACAGAAGCTTTCTTATTCTGCTACTCTAGATAATATTGTTCTAACAAATTTATTCATTTTAATTATTTATATGATTACTCTTTTCTGTATTATTCTAACCAAATATGTGCATATTTTATATTGCAAGTACATTATGTGTGGAAAGGAATTTACATAAGTCACATTTGACTTGTTTTCCAATCCACGAAATATATCAGTGTGTTTATATATGCTTACTGTACATATATATGTTGTAAAAATAGAAATAAAATATTGTTTAAACTAATGCAAGGAGTACACATGTCGTCTATATATCAAAGGCTCGTGGTAGGAGTTCATGTGTAACAATCTGCACAATCAAGACCAGTTAGAAGTTAATAAATATGTATTTTAAATTACTAATTATTATAATAAGTTAAATTAATGGAATCTCATAGAAGCACGTACCACTTTATATTCCTCTTTAACTAAGTAAATGAACGCCAAAAACGGCATATTTTAAACTAATTAAAGTGAATAGAATCCCATAGAAGCCGTGCCACTTTATATTCCTCTTTAAGCAAATGAATGCCAACACGGCAAAATTAAACATATTTCAGGTACCGTTTGAATAAGCCCGTTCATGGAGGTAGTGCAGTTTTTTTTTGTTTTTTTTTGATAAATTTCAACTTGACCTCACATCTTCATGAATCTGGATAACATCAAGCAAAACATTTTCGCTCTTCTTTTTCTGATTTGATTTTGTATATAATGAGTTTTTGCTTTTCTTTTTTATTCAATATATCGAACGATATAAAGCAAAATCAATAATTTCTCTTATGAATATAATGAAAGAGAACTGATATTTAATTTTAGGATAAAACACTATAAATCAAAGTTGCCCTAAGATGTTCACAATATTCGATCTTAAGATGCTTTAAATAAAATTCTATTTAATTTTACAATCAAATAAACAAATTAAATCATCTTAACTGTCACTCATGCTACATGTAAATCTGTTGAAATGTTCGTGACGACAATTTAAATGTCTGAGAAACAGTATATGTGACATAAACATGCAAATTTTATCGGGAATTGATTGATATTATTCTGCACTTGTATCTGGCTATATAATTGATGCCTGTAATTTACAAAATCATTGTTGTAATTTAGATAACGAATAATGAAAAAAAGAAAACAATTGAAAGAAATATCTTTGGATATTTTCATTAAGAGGACATGATGGTATAAAATCGTGCTAATGGGATACAAACAATTAGGATATTTACGAACGTTTCAGAATGATATCTGTTAAAGAATCTTACTATTATACATTCTTTCAATGTGTAAAACAACATATGGGGAAAGATGCTATTAGACATAAATATATACATTCAAATCCTTACAATTATTTCTCATGTGTAAAGAACGGGTCTCTTTTGTTGTACTTATTCTATATACATATTGTATTCTCCCTAACAAATTATTCGAAACCTGTTTTTATTTGGAATATGTCGCACCATTTCACGAAAATTTACAACCATCCTTTTCCCCACAAATTTGTATAGCACTTTATAACGATAAAATAATTACACAACCAATTTGAGACAGCCCAAATAAACCTTTTTGTTCTTTGAATGAGAAGTCCTTTTGCATCTTTGGTCTGCATATTATGATAACTGTTCTGAACTTATGACGATCACAACATCTTAAATGATACAGTTCATCATCTATTCTCCTTTAACTCTATTAGGAGATTAAATGGAAGATAAATGTACTGTGATGATGTACATCTTACTTCAATTGTGGCACAGTTAATTATTAGGTATATTCCGATTGACTCTAATTCATCAGGGGTCATCTTTTGTTGAAAATATGAGTGATAGAAAAGTAGGCTTCAGTGAAAACATAAATAAGAAAACAAAGCCATACCATCCCATTTATTTGTGCGGCCGGAAACATTTAATCAGCGTGAGAATTAAGAAAAATGCCATAGCAATCATCAAATCTTTCAACCTTCTTTAAAAGTGTTAGATAATGGGCACTCTTATTTAATAAAAGTTTATAGACTTCAATTTTGACCTAAAAAAATGACAGAGCCGACATTAGATAATACCAGGAGGCTTTAAATGACATCCTTCGATATTTTATTTTCCCCGTTTGAAACGATGGTTTTTTACACACAAGTGCCATCATTAATCCAAAGGTAAGGAAAACATTTAAGGAAGGTTTCGGACTTGTCTTGCAGAAAAAAACGATATGAACCAAATAAGCTTGTGGTACATTGTTAGATTTCCTATTAAAGACACTGTTCGTGCTCTTCCTCCTTCACTTCAATCAGGTTCCTGGTGGTCAGTGGGGGCGGGGAGGGGGAGTTACGTTGGACAATGATGCCAATTACATGTGGTCTATCAGTGGACTAACTGCATGAAATGCAATAATGTTATTCAACCATATTACAAAAAAGGTATTTTGTGGTATTTACAATGTTAAATATTGTCAGTAAGAACAAAAGACATTGCAATCATTTAATACAATTACAATATCAAACGAAC